ATTAATGGCACCTGTTTGAACTCGTTATCAGTATAAAAGACACCTGTCCACAACCTCAAACAGTCACACTCCAAACTCCACTATGGCCAAGACCAAAGAGCTGTCAAAGGACACCAGAAACAAAATTGTAGACCTGCACCAGGCTGGGAAGACTGAATCTGCAATAGGTAAGCAGCTTGGTGTGAAGAAATCAACTGTGGGAGCAATTATTAGAAAATGGAAGACATACAAGACCACTGATAATCTCCCTCGATCTGGGGCTCCACGCAAGATCTCACCCCGTGGGGTCAAAATGATCACAAGAACGGTGAGCAAAAATCCCAGAACCACACGGGGGGACCTAGTCAATGACCTGCAGAGAGCTGGGACCAAAGTAACAAAGGCTACCATCAGTAACACACTACGCCGCCAGGGACTCAAATCCTGCAGTGCCAGACGTGTCCCCCTGCTTAAGCCAGTACATGTCCAGGCCCGTCTGAAGTTTGCTAGAGAGCATTTAGATGATCCAGAAGAGGATTGGAAGAATGTCATATGGTCAGATGAAACCAAAATAGAACTTTTTGGTAAAAACTCAACTTGACGTGTTTGGAGGAGAAAGAATCCAGTCTCTGATTGTGTTACGTTATTATGAGAGTGCTCTCATACTTGTTTGATTCTGAAATTGTATATATTTATATACATATATGTGTGTGTGTATATGTCCGCATCTGTAGCCTGTTATTGTATCATTATACCGCACTGTCAATGAATTAAAAGTAAATATATATATAAGTCGTCATGAACACATCTGTCCATCAGAGTGCTGCTGTGCCTCCTGTCATCATTAATGGACGTCTCTTTAAAATGACCGCTCAGATGAGAGGAGTTCTCATTTCTCTAACCGCCTGCTGCTTCCACTCCTCTCTCCTCGGTTCCCCTCCTCAGTCCTCCGCTCGCATCTCCTGTGGGCGGCACCAAGTCTCGAGGAGAGGAGTCGAGGATAGGAGTCGAGGAGGGGAAATTTGAGTATTGAGAAACCTCTCTTGAATATCATGAGGGGCGCGGGGCTCCGTTGGCGGGGCGCAGCGTCCCTCTAAGACAATAGTAGGGGAAACACTGTAGACACATGAAGAACACGTATAACTCTGTGAGATTTATTGACATGTAAACATGGTTATTCTGTGTTTCCTCTGTAGCCAGGATGTTCCGTCGTGTTCTGACCATCGTCCAGGCACATTGCAAAATGGGGCTCACTGCCACACTGGTCAGGGAAGACGACAAGATTGTGGATCTGAACTTCCTTATTGGGCCTAAACTGTTTGAGGCCAACTGGATGGAGTTACAGAACAATGGCTACATTGCCAAAGTCCAGTGTGCAGAAGTGAGTCTTGCATTCTTTTGACAAGGTTTTATACCATGACAAGAAATTAAGAATATGTCGTTCACTAAAAACTGGATAAAATATGGAACATCTGTTTCTGGTTTGTTTTGATAATGTGAATCCTAAACCTAGTGGTCAAGGGCTGTTGATTGGAAAACATATATGTAACAAGATCATTAAATATAACTCAATTGATGTGGTGTGTTGTAATGACTAGCTTGTCCAGGATAAGACCAAGTGACAGCCGTTTACCTATGTCCAGTTTTAAACTTGCTGTATTTTGAAGTTAGGGTAAAGCTGCTTTTGTGTTTTTCTACCAACACACCATTACTATTGTGTTTTTTTTTGTTTTTATCCTAAGATAACTGTCTGCCTCGAGTAAAGTTATAGACATTTTCTTGTAGAATTCAGAATATTAAGCTCAAAGATGTAGCTTTAATGTAACAAATACAAAGAGCATGTTCCACATTAGTGACACTATCTGAACAATGTACCCATGGTTGTGCTTTAGGTGTGGTGCCCAATGTCTCCAGAGTTCTACAGAGAGTATGTGGCCATCAAGACAAAAAAGCGCATCCTGTTTTATACGATGAACCCCAATAAGTTCCGCGCTTGCCAGTTTCTCATTCAATTCCATGAGCGGCGAAACGATAAGATCATGGTCTTTGCTGACAACGTGTTTGCCTTGAAGGAGTACGCTATCCGCCTCAACAAGTAGGTTATTCACAAACTGAGAAGCATTTTGAGAAAATAGCCTGTTTGGGTAACCTTTCTTCATGTTTGAACTCCACTTTCTCATTTTCTCTCAAGGCCCTACATCTACGGTCCAACCTCTCAGGGGGAACGAATGCAGATTTTACAGAACTTCAAACACAACCCCAAGATAAACACCATATTCATCTCGAAGGTACCAATCCATGTGCACCCTTGTAACCAGCAGGGGGCAGACTAGCACTTCTAGAGAATGTACAGTACTACTGCTGCACTGTTTTAATTAACCCAAAAAATGTAATCAGATAAAAACATTACTCCAGTAATGACACCTCACACCTTTTTTAATCCTGCCGATATCACACATTATTCTTAAGAAATTCCCTCTTTTGAAAACCAATGATATAAAATCAGAAACATGTTTACCTTTTTAAAAGAACCACAGTTGCATGTTTGCATATTGATCAGAGATGGCAAAAGTAAACACACCCTTTACTCAAGTAGAAGTACAGATACTCATGTTTAAAAATACTCTGGTAAAAGTAGAAGTACTGACTAAACTTCTTTACTCAAGTAAAAGTAAAGAAGTATGGGCTTCGAAATGTACTTAAGTAAAAAGTACCCATAATTACCAGCTGTTTTAAAGAGTAACTGATCTCCCTTTATATTAATAGAATAATAATGTCATTGTTAGCTAATGAATGTTTCGATGCTGAACAACAGCAAAATGACACATTTTCCATTGGTCCCTCTTGTTTAAAGAAGACCAGGGGCCTCATGTATAACGCCGTGCGTAGGATTCACGTGGGAAGGTTGCTTACGTAGTAGAAATCCGTCACTCAGTTTAGACGTAATTCTGTCCTTCTGCTTACCGCATCATTTATGAGACAACATTTCATAACATTAACACAACATATGTTTGTATCTATTATTTTAAATGTATTTATTTTATGTTGTGTGAGCTTATCTCTCTGTAAAGCACTTTGGTCTGAAGTGCTATATAAATAAAGTTGGATTGGATTGGATATTCGAGGTGGTTTTATATGACATATCCGTATTTATTTATTTCTCCAAGTTACGTTTTTGTGTGCACTGAGGAGTCTCAAACAGGCGTTTGTTTAATCATTTTATGATTGGCTTTAATGTTTGAAAATGAATTCTTCATATATGATAAATGAGAGGTAACATTTTATTTATGGTGTTATTTCCACATATTTCTCTCCATTCTTCTTTCTGCCGGTGTCGCAGTTTCTCTTCCCTCTCCGTGTTTGTGCTTATTGCGTACGCATGGTTTAGAGTTTGCGTGGAGGACCGCACATTTTCCCGTCAAGTTAGTATTTTATAAATCGCAAACATTGCGTAGAAATGGCGTACGCCACTTTTTGAGCGTATATCCCTTTATAAATGAGGCCCCTGATCAGAGTTA